TTGTAAAGCAAGGAAGACAAACTATGACATGGGGTTGTAAAATAACCCCGCGCCTCCCCGTTGACTCTTGGCAGGCCTGTCTGTAAGCATCCTTGGTTTTCTCTGTAAAACATGTCATGTATACACACTTGGAGGTTCAGGGCAGTTATAAGCGGGTTAAAAGCAGGGTAGCTGCAATGATAACCAATATTTGGAGACCTATAACTCCACTTATAACTACCCTAAGCCTTAAACCTAAACCCTATAGAACCCTGAAGAGAACCCTATTTATAACCCCACTTATAGCTACCCATGAACCTCCAAACCACGACCCCGAAACCCAAGACCGGACCTGCCAAGTTTGGAGGCTTCCCAGTCTTGATTAGGGTTTAGGGTTCAGAGACTCCAGAACCCCTTATCAAAGGAATAGATCCTAAAATAGGAATCGGGAGCCCAGTAAGACTTAAGGCATATTCCTTACGTAAGGGTATTGTAGCCTCTGGGTAGCATAGGAGTCAGAGTTGAATCTAATGTACCCGACAATAAGCCCACCTCCTTTTCCTAGTAGGAATTCCAACTGGGATCCCCATAAACCCTAAACCCTAAACCCCTAAACCCTAAACCCTAAACCCTGGTTTGAAGGCGTAAGCCCTTCGCAAGGGTTTGTTCACCAAATGGTCTATGGTGCTTAAAGAAACACTCACTGCCTGCATCCAGGAACCTTTAGGGTTTAGGGTTTAGGGTTTAGGGTAGGAAACCGTGTAGTAAGCCCTATACAACACTTTATGCCCAAACTCAAAGCCCATGCTAAGATGAGCACTGTGATTAGTTCGCACTGTCAGCATTGCTACTATTTTGATGAGAACTATTGAAATGATTTCTATTCTATCATGACAGTCATGACAACGTAACCCATTGCCCCTCATATTCTTGTTTTCTGGACCTAAAGCCTAAACCCCACACAACCTAAACCCTAAACCCCGAACGACCTAAACCCTAAACGACCTAAACCCTTTGTCAAGCCTGCGCCCGGTTCCTCAGTGCGCTTCAGATGCATAGCTGGCCCAGACCAAAATGGCGCGATTTGGTTCCTTGCAGGCTTTGATTTGGGCTCATACTTTGGCTTGCGAGCCTTAACGGGAGTGAGGGCTTCTGGCCATGTAGTAATTTAGAAGTCTTTTGTTGTATGCTGTTAGGTTCGGGAGGGGAGGGGGTTATTGTTTTGTTGTTGAAGTTCGTTTCTGAAGCAACCATCGAGGTCCTGTCTGAAACTCCACTAAACGCTTTCAAGACCCTATTAAAACATGCTCTAAAAACCCTATGTTCAACTCTTCATAACCAAGTGAAGCTCTCACTTTAAGAAAAAACCCTCAAAGGAACCCTCAATAACAACCCGGAACCCAACGCCCTGAACCCCAAGAACCCGAAAAGCCAACAGCACAAAACGTAAACAAACTCCCAAAGCAAGCCTATATAGAACCCTTGTAGTGCCTCTACAGACCCCTTTAGGGAACCTGAAAGGAACCCCTAAGCCGAAAGCCCTAAATTCCCTACATGAACCCTATGCTCTTTAAGCCTTAAACCCCAAACCCCAAACCCTAAAACCCCAAGCCCTAAACCCACAACCCCTAAACCCAAAGCCCTAAAACCCTAAGCCCTAAACCCTCAACGCCCTAAACCCCAAACCCTGAACACCCTAAACCCTAAACCCAAAGTCCTAAACCCTACCTGTGGCTCTCATGACCCTCTATTCGGTAGGTCATTTGAAAAAAACCCGGTTTTTAGGAAGATGCCCCATAGGGACCAGGTCGTAATCCTCTTGACCCACAAAACATTACATGACCCGTAATTGGCCCTGAAATTTAAACCCCTATGCGTATTATGAGGCTTATCGACGAAAGCCAGCCTTGGTCTGCATTGCCCGCTCGAAGTGTCAGGCAGAGCAGGCTGTGGGTTTAGGGTATATAAAAATAAGCATAGGGTGCAGTTAAGTATGTGTGTATACATATACAAGACATATACAAGGATCCGATAGATATGTTATATTATAGGGCTGGGTTCCTAATCCAACTAGTATGTCTAGACAGACAGAGGCTCGCCTGGTCATGCCACAATCCGAGAGTGGCAGCATGGTAATCACCAGTTCCTAGAAGTGAGAGCAAAATGAGCATCATACAGGGCATGACCTCGCATCATGAAGCATCCAAGTCATGCAAACGTTGTAGATTTGCCTATCTTTGCAAGCATGCCGGCCATAGCTGGATTGTAATTCACCGCCATTTTGGCTTGGTGGCTGCAGAACCAGCCGGGCACTCAGCCTTTGCATATGCGCCTGTAAGCCTGGTCTGACCACTCTGGCAACTTGCTAGGGAGCTGCTGCTTGCAAACTTTCTGAAGGCCCGAGGTACAGTTCGGACAATCACACTTGTAGCTGTTGCTTTGCTTGGTAGCGCTCAGAGCGATGCCGATGTGCACTTGCCGGCTTGATGGTGTGGCGGAAAGTTGGGCTGCCGATGTGCGGGTGGTGCAACGTGTCCATTCAGACAAGGCATTCATCGTGGCACCAGGTGACGAGGAGCTGAAGTGCTCCATCAAGCATGTTGTTTACAACGATTTCATGCTGAAGCCACTCATTTTGAAGATGGCCGATGAACCGGCATGGGGGCTGTTCTCTTTGGGAGCTGTGCACGCTGAGCTGCTTGACAATCGAACTAGCTGCTTAATTCATCATAGCTAGGGTTGGGGGAGCTCGAAAGGCACAACATAGGGCCACCGTTTGTCCTCAGGTTGAAGAAGCTTCTGGCCAGCTTGCAGATGAAGCTTGACGCCAATGCGGTGAAACTTGGAGCCTTGTGGGCTAAGTGCCTATCATCATTTATCAAGATGAAGGTCCGCAAAGGTATGTCTTCAATCGATTCTTGGAAAGACAGATTTCACCTCAAACTTATACACTTTGCAAGGTTACTAGTCTATCGCTCAATCCTTCTTGCACAGTGCAGCCCGAACAGGCTTCGGTCTCGTCATTTCAGCAACACCGGGCCCCCGCCCTAATTAAATATCTACCAGTAAAGTGTATATATATATATATATATGTATGCATACCTGTACCTATAGAATCATATACATGTAGGCAAGAAAACTAGGAATCAGAGACCTTGAAAGTTGCTGTCATAGGACAGGAAGGAGACTACTCGTAGATACATACCCATGTACATTAAGGTCAGTATATTTATTGGCTTGCGAACACCTAAAAACAGCACAAGGATCTCTATAGATGTGTATAGGCATTGCGAAGTTCTATAGAAAGATTCTGAAGGACTGACAAACTCAGCTCATGAGTTCACACATAACCACTGATAGATGTATCTAGGAATCATTATGCACGCATGGTACGGTTGAGTATGTGCCAATGTACTTTGAAGGGGGATGTGCCCACACACGATGGCTGAAACAGCATAACGGCACACCCTGGATGTTGCTAGACTTCTGCCACCTCATACAACATGTCACAAGCTGTACTAAGAACCCCCGAAGATTTTGAACATTTGCCTAAGCCCCGACATCTATGTAGACCTATGGCTGAGGATCCCAGGTTCTATGCACTCCAGCTGTGTTTGGACAGCTCATTGCCATCTCCATCACGGGGGCTGGCCTCAAAGGTGGATGAGGACAGCAGCTGCTTAAGATCGGGTTTTGTAAGTGAAAGATACCATAACAACTTAGGCTAAGTATAAGGTCTATATTGTTCAGGCATCGTTATCATGCTTGTCGTGTAGGTATATCATGTGTGCATGTGTGTGTTGAATGAGGATGGGGATGAGGTTGATGGTGACGATGAGCCCTACGCTCCCGGTCACCTTGTTCCTGAGTCACCACCGGATGTTGTGGTCCACATAGCGGCTCCTGCAAGGGATGACATGATCCACGTAGCGGCTCCTGCAAGGGATGACATGGCTATGTCTGCAGATGAGGATGGCTCTGTTTTGGGAGATTCCATGGATGGGGTTCCGATGGAAGTCTCTGAGGAGGAGTTTGCAAATGAGCTTCCAGCCCTTCCCACCCCAGTGTCAGGGCCAGTGCTCCCACCCAGCATCTCAACTCCATCCGCTGAGAAGATTGCCCGATTGCAACGCATGGAGCACCTCCGCAGTGAGATCGAGAAGCTGAGTTCCAAGAGTCGCAGGACTGTTCAGTGTTGCTTCTGTAGATAGATTGCGGAAGCACCTAGAACAGATTCCCAAGCAAACTACCGCCCAAAGGACTTCGGCTGCTTCATCAAGTAAGAGCCTTGAGGAAGGCAAAGCTCCGGATCGCGAGAGATCAGGTAGGTGCTTCCACACAGTGTGCATGGATTCCAGGTTAGGATACAGGACAGAAAGCATTTTGTGATGAGATAAAACTGTTGTTGAGGCGGATATGCTTTGGACACGGATGACACCCTCATCGAAGTCTTGGAGTCACAGCAACTTTGCCATGCGGGTGGCAGCCAGGTGCTCCCCACTCCAAGTCCAACGCCCCTTGCGCGACGCTTGTTTCCTGAGGATCATGGTGTGGTTGACCTCAACTCCCCGGCCCCAAAGCCAGAGGCGGAGATTCCTGTGAGGCCGGTGGCCCGGCCACTGGTTGCGTTGAGAGCCCACCTTGCAGAGAATGCTGCGAAGAAGAGGGCTGAGAAGGAAGCCAAGCGCAGCAAGGCGGAATCCGATGAGCACGAGGGCTCCTCCAATGACAAGGGCTCGGGCTGCAATGACAAGGGTTCCCATGATAACAGTGGCTCCTCCAATGACAAGGGCTCCTCCCATGACAAGGGCTCCCATGATGGCAGCAAGGCCTCCAAAGAGTACAAGGGGTGGGATGACGAAAAGGGCACTTTCCCAGCGGTGCTGGCAGGTGGTGATGGTGAGTTCTTGTGCCGTCGGCAGCAGCTGCAGCTTCAGCCAAAGGCAAAGGGCAAAGCGAAGGCGAAGAGCACGGTGACTAAGCCTTCCGAGCCTGAGGCTCCCGCGAATGCAGCCCCAGCTCTTGCTGCTGGGTCTGTGAAGCCAAGTGATAAGCCAGCTGCGGACAGCATGGATCCTGAGAAGGCTGCTGTTTGTCGGGGCCGCGGTCGCGGCAAAGGGAGAGGCCGTGGTCGTGGCAGAGCTGGCAGCAAGGCCGATGATGGTGATGCCACATCATCCCCAGGGGGGGCAGGCAAGAGCAAAGGGACAGGCCGTGGTAGTGGCAGAGCTGCCAGCCAGGCCGATGGTGATGCGGCATCACCCCCAGAGGCAGGCAAGAGCAAAGGGAGAGGCCGTGGTCGTGGCAGAGCTGCCATCAAGGCCGATGGTGATGCGGTATCATCCCCAAGGGCAGGCCAGAGCAAGCGCAGCACGGATAAAGATGAACCGACGGCAGTGCCGGAAGCTGAGCCAGCTGGGATGGCTGAGGCTTGCGAGGTTGATGCATGCAACAAGCGCCGCAAAGGTGAGATCGGCCAGGTCGCGAAGCCCAAAGCTGCGCCGAAGAAGTCGACCCCATCCGTCCCGCAGTCCCTCAGTGTTCTGTCAGGCAGCAAGATGGCCCGGCAGGTTTCAAGTTGCAAGAAGAATATGACGCCGGGAGACATCATGAATCTGCTCCAGACAGACGACCTGATGATGCGAATCGTTATGGAGCAGATTGAGGCCTTGGGGAAGCCGCTTGCATCGGTGCCCACGAAAGAGAACCAGGACACTCTCCCATCGTATGATTGGTGGAAGCTTTCCACTTACTGGACCCGCTACAGTGTGGGAGTGATCCGCAAGGGTTCAGGAGATGTGCCGGATATCTATGTGGGCACCTTCGTAGGAGGTGGCTGTGAGAGCATGGCAGTGGCCTTGGAATCTCTGGCCCAGTACGCCCTTGTCTCAGTTTTCAACATCCATGAAGCATACATATATATATATATATGTGTGTGTGTGTGGTTTAACATGTACATGTGTGTCTATAAATGGGTACACACATGTTCACATACGGATGAATAGTTGTGCGTGTGTGTGACTAAAACTTAGCATATGATGTGTGTGTGTGTGTTATAGATACATACATACATACGTACATGCACACACACACACANNTACATACATGCATGCATGCACGCATGTTACACGCAAGCAAACAAACAAACACAAAACGGTCAAGCAAGCATGCAAGCAAACAGATGTGCACGCAAACAACCCAAGATCAGACACTGAATCAATCAAAGAAACAAACGAATAAATAAACAGTAGCATATGGCTAATCTTTCGGTAAATATAAAGGAAAAGCTAGAACCAATTAACATCTGCATGCTGATATGGCCACTNNACCGTGTTTGACAAAACAGTGCCTGTACATATGCCAGCCAGCTTACAGCAAAACCGAAATTGTCATCCTGTCAAGATCTCGAGGACTGATATGGCCACCCCCCCCCATACATATGCACACACATGCGAAACCGTGTTTGACAAAACAGTGCCTGTACATATGCCAGCCAGCTTACAGCAAAACCGAAATTGTCATCCTGTCAAGATCTCGGACTGAAGATGAACGAGAATGAGATCGTTTGCCAATCCTGTGCAACCCGTTGCACACCCATGCTCACGTGTTCAATGTTGTATGTTCGCTCCGACACACACTGTCAATATATGCAAATGCATATATAAGACGACACACATACATATGCGTTTAAGTATGAAGCAAACTACTGAGTTGAACCGGAAAGGTATAATGTGTATGTACACAGATATGTGTGTACCTACCTAATATGTGTTTTATTTTTTTACATGTGCTGGGGTAACTATGCTACACTTGGTACTCCTGTAAACACACTTCTGCATAAGTATCCTTCGGCTAGGCTTTGCGAAAATCTATGCAATCGTGCAGGAAACTGGAACTCTTAAGGTTGTGAATGCCTAAAATCCATCTTGATATTCCTATCCCTTCTACTTGAGGTCATCTGGATGGGCGGGGACAAGGCTGAGCTTCGGTATCCCTTGGATTCCGACGACAGCTCCAGCTTCCGACTTATGCTCAACGACTGTGCGAAGTATGCTGTGATCCTGAAGAGCCACATGGATGAGACTGGCCTCAGCCTTGAAGACATTTGAAGCTGCAACAGCGGCAAGTGGCCGCAGCACAGCCAGCGGCCGCTGGGTTTTACCTGGGGTTCGGCTGGTCTGCGCCAGCATAAAGTGGGTACCACCTATAGAAGTCTGTACTGCATTCACCAACACTTTATCAGATAAGCATAGCATAATGGGACGAAGTATTCGATTGACTTTATGTAAACTCAATCATGTCAAAACTCACCAGCCCCATGCCTCTTCTTCAGACACTAGTCCAACAAACAACCCCAAACGAGCCATCGGCCCAAGAGAAAACGGCAACACTTTGTTAACAAAATTTTGGGGAGCAGGGAGGGGGGAGGTTGATAAGAGAGAGAGTGAGAGAGAGAGAGAGAGAGAGAGAGAGAGAGAGAGAGTAAAAGAGTGAGAGGGAGGGAGGGAGAGAGGTAGGCAGCATG